CACGGGTGCATTGCAAGTCAGGATAAAGGTGCTGAATAATTCCTGCAAAACCTTGAGGCTCCCAATCAGCGACCCAAAAACAGACATCATGTACGTCACTTGCCCAGACTCCCCTACCACCACCATCAGCGATTTCCCTCTCAAGATTGCCTACAAATTCACCGATATTTGTGGTGATTTAACCAATGATGGAAATCTCGAGCCAGATATAGAAAGAAAAAAAAAAGAGGATAAGCAGAGCCACTGGCTCCTTCCAACTCAAAACCGCATCGTCAAGATTCGGTGGTACCTCCATCGAGGCAACCGTCAGGTCAAACCGACTACGTTAGCTTGGTCGTTACTGCAGGAACCCTAAACTACTGTTTGGAGAATGAGCTGAAAGCAAACAAAGAAAAAAAAACACTGTTTGATGCTTCCCAGACAACTGGTTCGTTCTATATCCGACCATGACAGCCGGTGGCTCGGTACAAGAAGTGGAATGGCTCTTGTTGATGCTAGGCTACTTGAAACTACAGCCGTACTGATAACCTGGTGACCCATTTCTTGGTATCTTTAACACATCAGTAGAGATAGTTTTCACTGCTTGTTGGGTCAAAATCTCGACCCAACGGGCAGGGTCAAATCCTCGACCCAATGCACTTGTTATAAATAACCCAGTGCTGGATTGGCTTTGGCCCAATATGGTTTCGTTTGGACCCAGCAGTTTTAAGAGTGCACTTGCTAAACTGTTATTTGATTATTCATATCACTTAAAACTAATTTCCACAAGGTTTCCTGGGGATCGAACCCGCACCCTTTCAGTTGCAGGTGACCACAATGACCACTTATGCTGGCATCACAGAAGGCTCTTTTGATGTTTTGTTTTGTTTTTCAGAGCAAATGTGTCTTCATCTCCAGATGACATTTACAAGGTGTTCTTTGCTCTCAGTGTCATTGAGCTTTCAAAAGGAAATGCGTTTGTGACGAATTTCTGTGCAACTATAAATCAAACACAATCAAATGGAATAAAATAATCCCAGATCATGTTAATATCATGATCATTTCCAATCTGCAATACGAATAAAGAATACATTGCATTGCACAACCTTGCGAGAGTGACGACACGTCCTCATTATTTCCCCCCTTGGTGAAAGCACGACATCACACTACGTCGACTTTGGCATTGGATGACACCTCGTAAATAACTCACTGCTGCTTTAGTGTCACAACTGGCGTCAATTGTCATGCAGGAGACGTTTTTGTACAACTAAAAATGAGTCAGTATATACAATCTGAATTATTTTTTACTGGCCAAGCATGTCCAAAACACACAAGCAATTTGTTCGCAGCAATTGGGGTCAGAGTGGTACCTTGATTTACAGTCTGAGTTTGATTCATTTTTTGAAGGTCTTAACTCAATTTAGTCTTACATCCAATCATGGGCGTAGCCAGAAAGTAGTGTGGCGGTCAGGTTGACACAACACCTCAGCGAGGGGTATCCAGAGGTTGCCGTGCATGAGTGTGTCATTCTTTATCATACCATCAGCCCTCGGGGTTTCATGAAATAACATGTACTCGCATCCAGAACAATCACTTATACAGTGAAACTCCTCTGGAACGAAACCTGCATGGGCGAAAATACCCCCTTATGTGAAAAAATCTTCATGCATTAACACAATTCCCATTCTCCTGCCCCCCATACGACGAAAAACCCCCTGTTGCGTTATACGAAATCATTTTGTCTGCTCCAGCCTCGCGAAGACATTCACTACAACGAAGTCTTATCCAACAGCGACCTCTACTGCTTCGTTCAAAAAAAGGAAACAGCAACCACCACACTGGTTTACATAGTGAACGATGTTTATTTCGGTCACAGCTGCGAGTTTCCTGGACCCAACATACTCATAGCTGCTCTGCCATTGGCTTGCCGAGCATCATCTTGGCCTCCGATTGGCCAAGAGGGACCTCACTGTCTATGTGTGGAGATACTGAAGCTAGGTCCGTAGAAGATAGAGG